TCTATATAAAAATAAATAAGTCCATGCAATAAGTAATAACTAAAAATAATGTAACATTTTGACTATTTTCATTAACTGCCTAAATGAATAAGACTCAAGCAATATTTATTTAATTTTACATTTTTACATTAACATTTTAAATTAATAACTGTATTTATGGAGAGTTTTTATATACTATATACCTTTTTCATTGAAAAGCTTACAATCTGTATTTCAACCACAAGTAAGTACTTATAATATATATTTTAAATATAAAATACCATAAGTATTTAATAACTACAAGATTCATAATTTTATAAATTGTTATTATAAAACTAATTTTTAATCTTTTCATTGGCCATTTTTTTCTAAAAACCTATATTTTTAGTTTTACTGAATTGATTTCAGTTTTGTTTTTTTTTTAATATTTCAAAATTTATAAATAATTAATATTTTTATATATACTTTACACAACTCAGAAAAGTTATTTTCTAACACATACACATTACACATAGAAAGGTTTTAAAGTAACAAGTTATTTTATTTTAGTTTATAATAAGTATTATGTCTAACTTAGGTACCCATATTGTATTTCTTAAAACGTAAAAAGTTCATTAGTGTTAAGTGTATAATCCATATACCAAAAGTTCTTCGTAAAGTTTAATGAAAATTAATATATGTTAAACTTAATATCCATAAATACCTGTATAGTATACCAAGCCGTATCTATAAGTTATAACTTTGAATTTAAATTATGACAACATGAGTCCATTAAAGTTTACATAGACTAGCCGATTTTTAAATGCATTAAGTTGTCAAAACAAACTGTTATTATACGTACAAGAAATATATTAAACCAGTATAGTACCTTATTTTTATTTTAGTTTTTAAATATTTAACTATACATAGTTGAAAAAGCCACCCTTTATCATAATAATTTTACTTAAAATTAGAAATAGGTTTGGAATGAACCTAAATAGTTTCATAAATAATAATATCTACAATTCCAATTATATTTTTATTAAGTATATAAGTATATTGAATAAAACAAAACATATATTAATATTCAAAGGCTTTTTCTTGCACTTAAATGAAAATATAATTACTCACATTGTCTTGATGACGTTCCATAAATATAAATATGATTTAATAGTTTAACACAACTGTTACATTTTCATTTTTCATTAACTATCTCCAAGCACATTTTAAAAATCATGGAAATCCTCTTTTATTCAGCTAGTATTTAAATATCTAGATAAGCTATCACGAAATTATTTGAATCAATTTTACTGAAAACACTATTTCTTTTTTCTAAACTAAACAATACCTGAAGAATTTAAATTTCATCAAAATATATCTATATTTCAAAATTAGTTTCTCATCGTAACTAATTAATGGGTGCTATTGTGATAGGTAATTATAGGTGGTCGCAGTCTATACAGATAACATAAAAGCATTCGATACGATCGTTAATCAACCGTAAGTTAGTGTTGATGAATATTAATGATCACATTTAAAATTATTTAAATTTATATAATATATATTATTTAGAAGTCAAAAATAACATTAAATAGACGTGTTTCTAGAACTATTTCAATTACATTAAGTGTACCTCAGGGAGTTCATATTTCTAAACTCCACAAAACTATAATTTTTTATTTTATACATGAATTTACATGTTGATTTTATTTTTTAATATCAAATTTTAGCATGTATGCATATGGTTATGTTATGTATACCTAATACATACTATTAAATCATCAGGGAACGATTTAGAATCAAAAAAAGACTTTGATTTCTTCCAAAATTGTTACAAAATTGATTTCGTTCTATTATAAGCCATGATGTGCAATAAAATATCCTCTCTTTGTTGATTATTACTCTAATAATAACCATTTACCTAAAATTGATTAGATCAAACATATTGGAGTTATTTTTTCAAGCTCACTTTCATTCACAGTAATATACATACAATATATAAGTACTATCAATACTAACAAAAGCAACATATTCGCTTAGCTTTATCATTGGAAATACCATAAATTTTAAATACATAAATATTAATCAAACTATATATACACAAAAATCAATGAAAATACTTATGATTTTACAGCACTTCACTTTTCTTTAGTTCGCTAAATATTGCAATACGGTTACATTTTATAGAACTCGCATAAACTTTTCTGGTTAAACTAAATTGAGCAGATTCAATACAAATTTTTCACTTTCTCAGATATAGGTACTAATTTCTACTGAAATTCTTTATAATTGCTTTATTATTAACCATTATTATGAATTTCTTAAAAAATTAGAAAATATCAACATTTTGAGTTCATTATAAGGACGTTCTTTTTATTTATAAAACTTACATGGCTCAATTAACAACAATTTTCTTCTTAATCCTAATTTAATCAATTTTTTTTTTTTTGCTTTTTATTTTATCAAATATTTGAAGTTAATTAATAAAACATAAATTATTTTTACAGTTAAAAAAATATGTTACACCTGATTAATTTTAAATAATATTCATTGTTTATTAATTATTGATAATATAAAATTATAGTATGAATATTATTCGGGTTATTACTTATTACCACGATGAGATAGTTATTTGCGAGAATACAATTTACAAGGTTTAAACGTATGTGAAATCTTAGCTTCTCTATAGAAATGATGTAAAATAAAATTGCATGTTGAATAAGGGCAACAAATATGATTTCCCAAGGGCGCCAATAGAAGTTAGAGGTGCACTGAGGATCGAGGTAAAAATAACTTAAAATCAGTCTAAATAATTCCATTGTGTCTAGAAAATAATAAAATAAGTAACTGTGAAAATTTTCAATTACATAGAAATAAATATAATCGTTAGAGTTTTTCTTCTAGTTTCTTCTCGATATTTTTCGTTTAAATATCCAAATTCGTAAAACTAAAATCTGTTGTAAGAATAACTTCGAAAGAACCTTCAAACGTTTTGATTGATAAAAAAAATTGTAGGTATAAACATATTTTATAGAAAGAACTTAAAATTTCAAATATCTATAATAATAACTCAAAGAAAACTAAAATATTTTTAAAATTATATCATGTATAAAAATAACTGATATAAATATTTAACAAAAAGTTTAGTATCTAAAAAATTAATTTATTTGTGATTATTAAGTCAACCTGGTGTTTCGTAACAATATTTTTCCTTTAATTTTAATTTTTATCAATTATTTTAAAAAGTACTAGAAATTTTTACTCGTCACCCTTCAAACTATAGATACAAACTAGATTTCTGCCAAAATAAACTCTCTAAATATTGAAGATTTTTATACTATAAAAAGTGTTGGACACATAATTTTTAACAAAATCGTTAACATAATTGTAAACAAATACATTCATCGCTCTTTTTAGGATTTGAAAGAAAGATATTACATCACATACTTCTTTAATTATATAAAAAATCTAAGAATTTAAAAGTATAGTCTTACTGTCCTAGGTAATTAATACCCCTTCCTTTCTTATAAAAACCAAAGAAGTTGCTCCACTGTATATTATAAGTATGTCGAGTGTACTTCGTCGTTGTGTAAGTTATATTGTATAACAATTAATGTGTTAAATTTGAATAAATTTGTGTTTTATTTATTTTATTACTTACATCATCCTGACCATTTTCATCTTCCTGTGATCATGTGTACCTATTACATTTTCTATCCATTAATGTGTAATCTTACTTTCCGTGTCACGTAATTAAGTCTGTTTAATTATAACTTAAACTTAATCAGTGGGTCTTCCATTAGCACTACATGTCTATTTTCTATACATGACTTCGTCTGCGTCGGAATCACCATGTCTTAAACCTGATTTTACTACCACTATATCTAATTTCATGTCTCATTATTAATTCACCTAAATAATATTACTCGATTTGGTAAATAACGATAATATTGCAAGAAATTTTTTTAACACGGACCATACAGATAATGTACGGAACGAGGATACGGTAGCTCAGGTAGCTGTCACCTAGTACAGAAATGGCGAAACTTTTTTAGGTCAAGTGTCAAATTTTTCAAATCAAGGTTTTGAAAATTTTTCACGTGCTCAAAGTAAATTATATTTTCTAAGGATAAAAATAAAATTACACAATAAATAGAGTAATATAATTAACATTTGTATAAATAATACATTTTACAAAGGAATATTATAATTTTTAAATATAATTTGTTTCTTTGCATTCCTTATAACCAACATTTCATGAATAGCATAATTTTTTATATAATTTTAATTTTTCACGTACCATTGAAATTTGACCAACATGCCACCTCTGACACACGTGCCGTAGGTTCGCCACCCCTGAGTCCTAGTGGCTAGAACGTGTCGGCCATTACCTTAAGTTTAGGTCTCAAACCATCGTGGACTCGTGTAGGGTGGAGGGGTTGATGTTAACTCAATTGCTTACAACAGTTGTATGACCACGCGTAAACAAAGTACGAATTCGTGACCGCCTATAATTACTAGATATATTATTACAACAATATTTACAAATAAATAATACAACAGAAAGCTACCTATAAAAATGAACATAGACATCAAAATGTTTATGAGTAATAACTAATGTTCATGACCATAAGATCATGACGTATAAAAATATATATATATATATCCCTGTATAATGTGTATTTTTTTATAGTACTTATGTCTATGTTTGTGATCTAAACATTAAACAGTAGGTAAGATTTATAGGTAACGTACCGTATGTCCGTATACTCACGTGATTTGTAAACTAAGATATTATATTATTATGACTTATTATGTCTACAGGTTAGGTTATTACCACATACTTAGAGTATAGTAGTATAAAATAAAATAATAATGACGTGATTTAAATCACGTAGTCCACAGTGGGCCAATAGTTAGATACCTTGTAATATAATAGTATCGATAAAAAAATTAAAGTTGGTAATTTTCGAAACGAGCCCGCGGCATTATCAACATTCCTTATCATATGACTGCCGACCGGGATATTATGATTACAAAAATGCGAACGTGCGTCGTGCACGTATTGAACCTCGTCACCTCCTAACTCGGTGCATACATAATATCAAAATTATTTAAAACATAGGTACGCGTAAATTCTGACTGTGACAATAGTGACATAAAATAATATTATAGATGAAAGGAATGTCTACATGTCACGAGTGACAAACCTATGAGCACCGAGTACTTTATCTCAACCATAAACGAGAACGAGAACGAGAATATTTTTCAATTATTTATACTTTATAGATTTTGTACTGCGGAACAGTAGTTACGTTACAAGCCGTGTTTTAATAATTTTATAATATATATACATACGTGATATACGTCGTCGATACCATGATATTGAAAGTCATATCTTCCACCATCAAGACGGTTTACACGGCGACATGCTTAAAGATGAAGGATGACAAAAAATTTAGGCAAGTTCTTGTTGAAAATAATTTAGTTAAGTCTCTTAGAGTTGATATTACATAGCGTTTGAAACTAAGATCAGAGCTGTGTTATAAAATTTTTAATTTTTAATTTGTTCTACTGAAAGATTTAAAAAAATAATCCCTTATATTTCTTTATTTTAATTGTTTATAATTATTAATTGTAGATTAATCCCAGGAACACTTATTGCATTAGGTGTATCATACAGTACTGTAGCGGCAAAATCATTGGTCGTTGACAAATTCATGGCAGACACTATTACAGATTTACAAACATTAAAAAGTAGACCCGAAGATATGAAAACAATCATGGAACTTATGATTATGAATATACAAGTACTTATATCATAACAAATTTATTTAAGTTAATTATCATTAATATATTTATTTTAATAAATGTTGGTGTTTTTTTTTTAGGCTGAATTTTGTCGAGCACTTGAAAAAGAAGAACCAAAAGAAAAATTCAAAGTAGATCGATGGTTAAGACCTGAGGGTGGTGGTGGAGTTACATGTGTAATGCAGGAAGGAGAAGTTTTTGAAAAAGCTGGCGTTAATGTTTCTGTAGTTCATGGTAATTTACCTCCCAGAGCAATTGATCAAATGAGAGCTAGGTAAATATAAATAATATTCATAATGTATAAATATATAAATATATAGACTCTCAACACCTCAAATTTAAAAAAATTTGATAAGAAAACATTTTAAATTTTATTTTGAATATCTTTAGTAATATTTGTGCATAAACTAATTTAAAATGTAAATTTATTTAATTTTTTATTAACAACTGATATTATTAATATTTTATTTTAAAATTAGTTACACTTAAATGTTTATAAAAGTTCATAAGTTTAAAAAAAATTTAAGTTTGTAATCATGAAAACATAAGTTTGATTCATCCCTAATAATTAATTTATTCTCTACCATTTAATTCAATGTTTGAACTCTCTAGATTATCTGTGGAGTATTAATATGAAATATCTATTTAGTTAATCATTAATATAATTTTCTGACCTTTATGTTATTGTTTCACATCAGTGGTTATCAAATTTTATAACCCAGTACCTCCTATAAAATACAATACTTTTACCTGTAACTAGCATTTCAAATTGATGGTTTTTTTATGTCCCATGTCTCAGTAATAATTAGACATTTCATTACTAATAGTAATAAAATTATTATATATTAATATTTTTTTTACTTATTATATCTAACAGCTATTTACAAAATAAATTCACAATTCTAAACATCATTATTCAAATTTAAACATAAAAACCAATTTATAATTTAATATGTTGTATAAATCAAAAATAGATTAATATTTAAATATTTATTTAGCACACATGATAACTAAAACTTTTATCAATTCAAAGTGAACAATAAATCAATAAATGTTTCTTCTCCAAGCTGTTTTTGTAAATCTAATTGTTTTCAACTTATAATTTATTTTATTTTAGAGGTAAAAATTTTAAAAGTGGTCAAGTACTTCCATTCTTTGCTGCAGGTGTCAGTGCAGTAATACATCCGCGCAATCCCTATGTGCCTACTATACATTTTAATTATAGATACTTTGAAGTCACTTTACCTGATAATACAATAGAGGTATATTTACTATTAAGGTTATATTTAATGATTTTAGGTATCAGTGAATTGTATTCTAAATTCAAAATAAATAAAATTCAAATTTGATTTAAAACATTATTATTCTAAGTAGAAATTTTATTTGTAATGTATCAATATTTTAAACTTAAATTTATAAAATATAAATACATATAAGTGTACAGCTATGTATTTTAAAATATTTAAATTGCTTATTTGGGTAAAAAAAGTTATAAAATTTAACATTTCATACCATTAAATTATTATTGTTCTTGATGTTTTATTAAAAAAAGATTAATTTTAAATATTTTAAAAATGTTCATAAATTCTTTAAAAAAATATTCATTTTTTTCTAAGATCGTCTATTTTTTTGTAGTATGCATTTATTTATTTTTTAATATTTCACACACATTATTACTAACTGATGTACCTTTCAAATCATAAAATATAGAATTATGAATTATATTATTTCGTAGAATTTCTCAATTTTTTAACTGTTTATGCATACTTCCTAGTTTTTTAGTGCATTAAATTCACAGCTAAGTTTATTATTATCTATTTTATTGAAATGTTATTATTTCATTAGCCATTATAATTTTAAATATATCATAAGTACAATGATTTTCTAATTGTGTTTATTATTCTAGTGGTGGTTTGGTGGAGGTACTGATTTAACTCCTTATTATCTAAATGAAGAAGATGCAGTCCATTTTCATCGCTCATTAAAAAATGCTTGTGATCAACATGACAAATCATATTATCCTAAATTTAAACGTTGGTGTGATGATTATTTTAATATACCGCATAGAGGAGAACGAAGAGGGGTTGGTGGTATATTTTTTGACGATTTAGACACTCCATCTACATTTAATTTTGTTAAGAGTTGTGCACAAGCAGTTATCCCTTCATATATTCCATTAGGTATATATAATTTAATTATGAAGTTGTATACAATATATAAAATATTAATATAAACTTATTTTCATAGTACAAAAGCATAAAAACGATTTATATAATGATGAAGAAAGAGAATGGCAATTACTTAGACGAGGACGATATGTTGAATTTAATTTGATATATGACAGAGGTACAAAATTTGGTCTCTACACACCTGGTGCTAGATATGAAAGTATACTTATGTCACTTCCCTTGACTGCCGTAAGTTTATTACATTTTATTGTATATAATTTCTTATTTATTAATTAATTAAACATTGGTTTATTGATAATGGTAAAATTCAAATTACTGTTTTTTTTTTTTTTTATATTTTATATAATATGCATTTAACAATGGTAAGATATTTAAATAATTATGTATTAGGCATAGAATAAAATACAAATGTGTTGACTTTATTTTGATTAACATAAAATGATGTTAAATATATTTTCAAAGTACATTTATAAATATTTTAAACATAGGCATTACCTATATTACAATATATAATACATCAATATAATATAATTAATCAATAAATTATACTGTAATTTTAACTCGCACAATAATATATTAATATACAATAATTTTATTGACATTTGTAATTTTCTTTATTTTGTCATAGAACTGGAAGTATATGCACAATCCAGATCCTGAAAGTAGAGAAGGAAAATTAACAGAAATTCTAAAAAACCCAAAAGATTGGATTAAAATTGAATAAAATAATTTAGTGAGTTAGGAAACTTCATTTCAATTAATTTTCTTAAGAATATTATTTTTAATTTTATTTTAGAGCAAATAGAATCAATTCAAAATAAGTATTCTGTCTGTTATTAATTATTAACAGATAGTAAAGTATTTTTAAATTAGTTTTTCTTTATTATTTTTATGATTGTATTTTTATATTGTTATTTTAGTTAAGTTATATTGTTAAAAATAATATTAAAAATATATGATTGTTAATAATGAGAGTGTTTTAAAATAAAATATTTGTATATTTTCTTAAATACAATTATCAGTTATTATTAATTATATTTTTAGTGTATAGAAATTTTGTTAAAATTATTTTTTTAATAATTAATCTATAACCCTATATTTTTCAAGGATTGAAATTGCTATTTAAGCCAAAATAATAAACTATTTTTTAATATTTTTTTATAAAATAAATTTAATTGAAGCTTTATATAGAAATAAATTGTTGTTCAGGTAAATTGTCATGTATCAACACAAATTAATTTAAGTATTGAAAACTCATATTTGTATGTGAAACCAATCATAAATTAATTGTGTTTGTTTAATATATTATCAATTAAGTATAAATAATTATGAACAATTAAAATTTTAAAAATATCGATTTACCGATGTAACTATATTGTATTTTTTTTTTTAAAGAATTTGTCCCTTTATTTTGAGCATCACATTTCTTTATCCCGACAAATTCTAAATGGGACACTTTTTGTTCAGCTTCTAGTGAAGAGTCCTGTATGTATACTAGATACAGTAGGGTCTCGTTAATCCAAACAAGATTCGGGAAAGGGATCATTTGGATTAACAATTTGTTTGGATTACTTATGACATAAAAAAAAAATCAATTCTCTTCCAATTTAAATTTTGAAATTAATCTTTATCCATACTGCAGTGTTGATTCATAAAATTTGTTATTTTAAAATACAATGAATACAATAAAAATCGACAAAATCATTATAATTATGTATGAATAGCCAGTTAATAAGTACATGTATTGCATATTACTATGAATTATGATACACATGTGTATTAGTATAGCGATGTGGCAATTTCCAAGTCCGTTTGGATTACCTTGTCCTTCAGATCAGCCTGTTTTCGGATTACCAAGACCCTACTGTATGTATAAAAAAGAAAATCTTGAATCCAAAAAATATTGAAAACACTGAATAGTTCTAAATAATGGTTTCTGTGTAATAAGCACTGACTGATGACTAATCGTTGTCAGGGATAAGCATAAACCATCCTATAATAGTGTATTGCAATACAATTTATAAAATCTCTAAAATAAGAATGACCCTTTAATGACCAACATTATCTAAAAAAAAAATAAAATTTACTACAAAACTAGTAGGCTAGAATGCCTAAAATAGTTTTTATTTTATTTTTATACATTAATAATATAGTCATCCTAGTTAAAAACAAAAACATTTTTATTTTATAACTAAATAACTCAAGCCAATAACAATTAATACCCAAGTTTTAACTAGTATCTTTTTTTTTATTAATTTTAATCCAAAAACAAGTTATTAAAAATATCATCATCAGCTGGATCCATTTCATTGTCTAGGTCCATTGGTTTATCACCAGTGCTAGCAAACAAGTCATCCATCACATCATCGCCAATTATTGTGTCTTCGAGACCATGCTTATTTTCCAAGACAAAAGACATAACAACATTATCACACGTAATTATATTAACTTTGTTTCGATCAAATTGATCACGAACCTTCATTGATTCTGATAATTTCCCTTTATGTTCTAACCATTTTGAATATAAATATACAATATCTTCATCTCCTAAAAAAAAAAAAAATATTACAAAAATCACTTGAATGATATAACATTGTAACAACAGAATTTTTTATCTTTATTAAATAATATAAACATTTTCTATACATTTACTATAACAAAACTCTTCTTGTATATTACCAGATATGTAAATTAAGTACTCATAATACAAATTACATTCATCTTTTTTATTTGAAATATTTATATAAATAGATGAAAAAATAAATATTTCATCAGCTGTTATAATTATTTTAACACTAATTTTGGTTTGTTTTTTAAATGTTTATAGATAAATAAGAAGTTTAAAACAATATTTTATCTTAGCCTTATTTCATAATTTACCAGCATTATATGAAAGTGCTTTTTTGAATGCCGCTTCACAGTCCTCTTCTTTATTTAACTTACTCAAAACTGTAGCTTTAAGTAACAATATTTTACCAATAAGAATTCGTCGTAAAGTTGTGATATTTTCATCATGGTTACTAGGTTTTGCCACAAAATCAAAACTGCTTTTAGCATACAGACAATTGAAAGACCTTGAACCAGAAATGTTATAAAAAGAACACCTACACAATTAAGGGATAGAAATCTACTTGTTTAGTGCTTCCAAAACTATATCAGTATTTTTATTTAAACATGTTTCAGCTAATAACATAGTTCCAATCACATTAAAATTGTAATCATTCAATTCATCAGCCCAAAATGAATCACTTTTCCACATATCGCATCCTGGCTCATATTCTTCAACCAAAGTTTGACACAGTTTAAAAGATTCTTCTGGTTTATGAGCTTTTAAAAGAGCTACAGCAGCTTCATGTTTGAGCATAAACATTGGTGGAATTACTACTAAGTCAGAAATATATTGATCAACCTCATTCAATTCCAAAAGACTTAAATAAGTAGAAGCTGCTAATTTATAGTTCTAAAAATAAAAAAAACCATTTAAAATGATCAGTAGATATTATTTAACTGTGGATAAAATAAGTCTAACAATTTAAAAAATAACATACAGTATGCTCATATTTTTTTTTTGCCGCCAAGTAAAGTAATTGCCTCTTAGTCAAATCCGGTTGTGGATGTAAAATAATAAGTGCCTTTGTAATAAAACTGTTGGATAATTTTTCATGTCTATTATGTCCCTCAAAATCTTCCTAAACAACCATTTAAATATTATATATATTTTAAGCATTGTAATTAACATTACCTTAATAGCTTGTTCCAACACCACCATTTGCATAAACTGCATGTTGATCATTTCATAATGCTGTGACATGTAATAAGCCATTATATTATTAAACTCTGATCCTTTTAATTTCTCAAATGACTGTATAGCCAAATCACTATTACTCATTTTTGAATGAGTTCTCCCTAACAATAAATAATACCTTGATCTAATAAAAGGTTCCATTGGACATTCGACCATTTGAGATAAATAACACAATGTCATTTCAAACTCATCTAAATTATAATTTGCAAGAGCCTTTAAATAGCACATTAAACAAAAAAATTCATCATTTTGACTCAAGTATTCATCCATTTGGTTCAGTGTGCACAAGACTTGTTGATGTTGATTTTCTAAAATGTTTTTTATACACAAGGATACATGTCCACAGATAATTATTGTTTTTATGTGCTCTGTGTCAAGAAGAACATTTATTTTTGAAAGTCCTAATTTAAAACAATTAAAAACGTGACTTGGTCTTTTAAGTTTAAAAGCGCATGTAATAGTTTTGATTTTATCTATCAATTCCATTGTAAAATGTACTAAAAGTGTAGTAAAACTGCGTCGAGACAAAAAAATTAGTAATAATAACTGTGAAATTTCTAAACATTGAACAACCAGTATTGGCTCTAAACTAAGAAACCTGTTAGCCAAACATTCTAAACTATTAAGTATATCCTGTTCATTGCCAACATGTGATCCAAAATTAACAGTACTTTTTCCGTTTTCGTGTAATACTGAAAATGGTCAAAATTTAATTAAGTTTTTTCATAATATTAATAAATATTTACTATAAAATACCAACCTTCATGCAAGGATTCACTAACTAATGTTAATATTTTGTCATAACAATAATCAGGAATGTCAGTTGGTTTCAACCAATACCAATGCAAAGCATTACAAACAAAATTAATCCGCAGCTCTAATGGAATATGTTTTTCATATAAATATAGTTGAGAAATATTAATAAATTCAGTCATCTTGACAACATACTCAGTACTAATTTCAGGTAAAATTCTCTACCAAAACAGTTAAATAAATTTAAAATATATAAATATTGGATTAAAATTGCATACATAATAGATAAGTACCAGAGAATTAGAAACAAGTAAATTGTTTCTAAGTATGATAAACTCAACTTCATCATGTGCAGTAATTTTTTGTAAATAACAATTATCAATTGTATTTTGAATTAGGTTGCAGCAATCTGTAAACTTTCCTCTTTTGAATAAATCACACGATGATGACATAACACTGTTTATATTCATTTTTTAGATCAATTTGAATAAATCTATTCAATACAATTAACAAAAAAAATACACCTGTATACGTAAGTATATAAGATATTAAGTCATAAATAACTGATAAGTGTTTAATATTTTAAATCAATGATTTAGTATTAATTAAAAATTAAAAATAACAATAAGAGACACCTTACACCAGTACTCGAATAGAATAATAGATACATTAAAACATTTAAAACTAGTAATATTTTATATTATTTATAATAATCATGGTGAATGGCCGCCAGTGGGTAAATAAAATAAATATTTATTGTAATCACTAATCGAATGTAAAAATTGGCGGTAAAAATAAATTATTACCATGATTAGGTATCTACTGTGTTAGTGATAACTACTGATAACACAAGGTTACACAATAAAATGGTCTTACACTCTTATATTACTTAATTCTTTTAATTCCTTATAACTGTTATAACTTAGAACTTAGAAGATATCTTAAAAGTCTCAAGACGTGAGTTATATTATCATATTAACACATATTATGAGTTAATGACCACGGTGAAACGGTTGATTAAATTTGCATACCTACAATTTACAAGCCCCAATGGCTTCACTTGCTTGAAACTATAGGATGACTCAGGTCAGTGATCGTATCCATAATACGAATAACCCAATCATTTAATATTATTACACGAGTCGCATAGAACTACGTCAAAGGTA